CTGGGTCTAGTTCTGGTTCTGCTGCAGGTTCTGGTTTATCAGCAGGTCCTGGTTCTGGTTCCGGTTCTGCTGCTTCTCTCCGTATAAAGAAACGAGGGCTGGTTGGGATAGTTGTTCAGTCAGTTGTTCACAGCTTTCAAAAAGAACTCAAAGTAAAGTTTGGAGCTTTTCCCTGAACTCCCATAATGCACCTCGGCTGGTTCATGTTCGTCCAGCTCGCTGGTTCAGTTCCTGAGACGCGACCGGCTCGTTCTCCGGATCTCACCGGCCTCATGGGGCGTTTCTACTCAGACAGACTGACCTAAGGAGCTGGAGCCGGGGAACCGTCACCGTGGCGACCTGGACCGGAGTACAACACCGCCTCGCGCCCGGTTTCCGGTCGATCCTTTCGGTTCATGAGCGTGATGATTGGAGCATTCACGGACCATCCGTGAAAGGTGCTGCCTTTCCTTGTTACGCAGTGCGCCTCAGCCCGTCTGATCCTGAACCGAGGGACCGCCAAAAACCTGTGAAAAAGAAAGCTAAAAGCTGCATTAAATATTTAAATAATGAACGAACTTCTGTCCCATTCATTTAGTTATTTTGGTTGAGTTTTGTAAATCTGGATGGATTAATCTTCCGTAAAATGTAAAGCTGCTTTACAGTCACATAGTGTCAAAGCTCATTTAAGGATAATTAAAAGTAGATAGAAACCGCTTTTGTTCGATTTCACGAATGTAAATTCTAATCTATCTTATTGTCTAACTGAAACGATTCATGTGGATTCAGGTAATGTGGTAATATCTGATGTTTGAGCTCAAACAGAGTTTAAAGTTGAGATTTCCGGATCATCTTTAACGCTTCAGCGTGACTTCTTTCTACCATCGCGATACTTGAACCCACCAGCTTCGCGATCTTGAGCGATATTTCCGTCCAAACAGAGATGGCGTCTCCCTGAACGTACATGTGGCTCCACTGACCCAAAAACTCGTTCAGCGCTAAGTTAACTGAATATTTTGGACCGGAGACAGCAGGCAGACTCTGCGGAGGAGCCGGGAGAAAGGAAAGATGCAGCACGACGACGTGAGTCCGCCACGTTTCCCTGAACGTGGCCCTCCCGCCGGCTAACGGTAGCTGGCGTTAGCTAACGCTAGCCGGATAACGCTAACCGCCTAATGAAATGTGGCTTTATTGATGGATCAGTTCCACCAAATACCTGAACATTCATGGATCAGTTTTCTTCGTCATAATGAGTGTTTTTATGATACATTTTACATTCTGAAACGGGCTGTTTTACACAACTTGTTTCTCCCATCTTCAACTTTCCATGTAAATTTCAGATAATTGTACTTAAATATATACTTAACTGATTCAAACCAAAGTTAAAACATCAAACAAAGACGGGACTGCTAAAAAGGCTGTTGGTGCTTAATTTCGGGTACATTACTCACTCTTAATAGATCACTCTGATTGGCCTTCATGACTTCTAAGTTATAAACTGTTCTGTATTTGTTTCTGTGCTGATGTTTCAAAAATACACTTTAAAACTGAAGAATTTCAGCCAGACATGAATGAATTCTCACGTTAGTGTCTGAACTGAAGCGGATGGTGGATAAACCCTCAGCAGCTCACATCTCTTGTGGTTTTTTTGGTGTAAACGTGTGGCTGGATGACCCTGTAACTCTGCTCTGCCCTGCAGGTCATCTGGGACATCATCGGAAACAAACAGTTCTGCTCCTTCAAAGTCAAGTAAGACCAAACCTGGTTTTGACTCTTTTCTGCCCAAGCTGCTTCAAACTGGTGGATAAAGCTCTGAGATCTGGACTCACTCCCTCTGAATGCCGGCTGTGTTGCGTGTGTGGTTTGTGTTGGGCTTATTCTTATTGTTATCGTCTCCTCTCTGTTTTCTGTGCAGGACCAAGAGCCAGAACTTCTGCAGGAATGAGTTCAACATCACGGGGCTGTGCAACCGCTCGTCCTGCCCGCTGGCCAACAGCCAGTACGCCACCGTACGGGAGGAGAAAGGTCGCTAATCTGTGCTAACCTGCTCTAATCAGCGCTAGCCTACGCTGACCTGCCCTAACCAGTGCTAACCATCAGCGCTAACCTGCTCTAATCTGAGCTAACCAGCGTTACCTGCTGTAACCTGTGTTAGCTTGCTTTAACCTGTGCTGACCTGCTCTAGCTTGCGCTAGCCAGCGTTAGCCTGTGCTAACCTGCTCTAGCCTGTGCTAACCTGCCCTCTGTGTTCCAGGCCAGTGTTTCCTCTACATGAAGGTGATCGAGAGGGCGGCCTTCCCGGCCAGGATGTGGGAGAAGGTGAGCGTCCACTCAGAGTCCAGCTGGAAACATTCCTACACCCAGAAAGCTCCAACCAGCCCCTCCAGGATCCTCTGATCCAGCAGCAGAAACAGATCCAGTCCTGCCTCAGCCTCCACAAACAAGCTCAGAATCCGCCTTACCTCTGCTGACAGAAACCAGATCAGAGCCTGTTCAGCGAACAGCCCCTGACAGAGATCTGATTGGATGAGGTCACGTTAGCCCGATTTCATTGGAGGAGAGGATTCAGACCAGGGCTCAGCCATCCAAACGGGCCAATGGGAGCAGGGCTGCTGTCCCATGTGACCTGAGAAAGGAGAGGATACTGTGTGGGATCCATTTAAATGGAGGAACATCTGAGTGGGGAATTCTGTAGAAAATCACTGAGAAACCAGCTTTTTAGGTCAGACTTAAAACCAATCCATCTCCCTCTCCCCCCACCTCCTCCCTCTCTCCATCTCCCTCTCTTTCCCTCTGCCTCTCTCTCCATTCCCCCCCCCCCCGTGTCCCAGGTGAAGCTGAGCAGGAACTACGAGGCGGCCCTGGAGCAGATTGACCAGCAGCTGCTGTACTGGCCTCGCTTCCTGCGCCACAAGTGCAAGCAGCGCTTCACCAAGATCACCCAGTACCTCATCCGCATGCGCAAGCTGGTGCTCAAGCGCCGGTGAGGGGGGGGGGGGGAGAGGAGGGGGGGGGTGGGGGGGGGGGCACATAGGGTTGTCTCCGTGTCTCTGGGGCCCTGTCCTCTTTGGGGGCGTGTCTCTGGGGGGGTTTCCTGGTCCTGGTCGTGTCCCTGACCCTCCCTGTGTCCACAGGAGAAAGCTCTGATCGCGGCTCAGCTGGACAACGCCATCGAGAAGGAGCTGCTGGAACGCCTCAAGCAGGGAACGGTAGGGGGGGGGGCAGCTGGGGGGAGGAGGTGGGAGGAGCCTGGCGTGGCTGTGAGCTGATTGGCTGCCTGCTGCTTCCAGTACGGAGACATCTACAACTTCCCCGTGCACGCCTTCGACCGGGCACTGGAGCAGCAGGACGAGGAGAGCGAGTCCGAGGAGGAGGAGGAGGAGGAGGAAGAGGAGGTGAGCAGGCCGACCCCCCCGGGCGCCCTCTGCCCCCCCCCCTTTGGGCACCACCCCCCTGACAGCCTCTGTTTGCAGGACGTGGGGCGGAGGGAGTTCATAGCTGAGGAGGAGCTGGAGGAGAGCGAGATGAGTGACCTGGAGGTGAGGGGGGGGCATTTAAATAACAAAAATATAACATAACATTATTCTGAAATCATCTTATTTAGTTCAGGGAAGTTTTAAGAGAAGCTCCTTTCTTCTCATTTAAATATAATATATATTTATAATAATATAACAATTAACAAAAAATAACTATTTAAAAAGTTATTAAAAATTTCTAAATTATTTTGAAAAGTCCTAATTTATTTTAAATGAGTAAAATAGTGAAAAGTTAGGTTTAGGCGGCTGAAATTCTTTCTTGATTTAAATTTTTCTTGGCTTACTGTATTAATAATAACAGTGTAAGAATTTTGTAACCAGTAAAAAACAGATTTTTCTCTGAATTTGGAGGATGAATAATCGTTACGTACCAGTAAACATGGTCCAGTGGATGGGGGGGGGGTGTGAGGACCAGCTATTGGGGGCTGACAGCATCTGTGTCCTCAGGACCTGAACGAGCTGAAGACCAGCAGCGATGAAGAGGAGGCCTCCAGTGAGGAAGAGGAGCAGGAGGAAGAGCAGCCGGGGACCTCCAGGGCCGGGGGGGCGGCCCGGAAGAGGCGGGCCTACGTGGAGATCGAGTACGAGACGGAGACGGAGCCCGCCCCCAAGAGCAGGAGCACGTAGCGCCGTCGCCACGGCGACGGGACGGCGTCGCCACGGCGACGGTTTCCCCTCCCGTTTTCCCGCCAAAAGTCCAACAAGACACTTTTTAAACAGGACGGTCAAAACTATGAGATTCCAGAGTCTGAAGTCTGGAAGGTTTCTGTCAGAGAGGCTGCAGGTTCTGATGGACCAGATCCAGGACTGGGACCGGGGGTGGGACTGAGAGACTGGATCTGGTCCTGGATCCGGTTC